CACACACACACACACACACACACACACACACACACACACACTGAATCACTGTATCATAACTCCACTGTTTTTGTGAGCAATGTATCCTGATAGTGCTGTATTATATGTAACTATGTTGCTATCTGTAAGTATTTTAACAATATACACAATTCGCTTTAGATACAAGCACGAGCTGAAAACTGCTCTGCCCTGTTGAACTCTCCATTTTATGTCCCTGAACAAAGAGCAATTTTCTTTTACTGGCCCCATTTTGGCTTCTTTGATTATTTGCTGTCACTCTAAAAGCAGCAGTTGATGACTTTTAAATGAAATCAATTTTGCTATCACAAATGCACGTTCCCTTGATCTGGCCCTGCAATTTATGGCTAGAATTTTACAATAAGCACCTGGATTTATTGCAAGCTGCTTGTATCTGTCAAACCAAACCTTGTGCTTATTCTCTTTTCCATGTTCACATGAAGTCCTTTATTCTAATTTATAACCAGACATCAGTTGAAAGTATTTAAAGGGAGACTTCCAAGTACCAAAACTACAAAAAGCAAATCAAAAGAAATACTGTGCATCTTAAGTTAAGGTGCTTGATGGCAAAGTATTACATTAACTGGGGATCTGTTTACCATAAAAATAGGTGAAAGAATCACAGGAGAAGCTCAATTTTCACCCAGAAAACTTAAGTTTCAGACTTTTTTGGGGGGGCTGTTTCTTGTCGTTTAGGTCATTTTATGTACTAAAACAACCTGATAATGGCTTAGTCACCATAACTACTCAGCTAAGCATAAAGAATACCCTTTAACAATGTAAAACACAGAGTTGGTCCCTACAATTTGGGTAACTTTCTGTTTATTACACATTATAGCCTGGTACAGTGCCAACGAGCCATATCTGCAGGAGGGATCACAACAGACTTAGCAGGCTGATAAAATTCAAAGTGAGGGTAGCATCCCACTTTTTGACTTTTTGAACTCTTTCTTTTATTATGTGCGTCAAGTTGAACGTGTGTGCTGCAGAACATCTCCTTTGGCTGTGTTTCGGGAGGGAGCGAGAAGTGACCATGCTGTGATCAACTCTTGTTCCAGTCTTTGTCACAGAGGGAGAGTCTATCTCCTCTCAACGTGAGGCTCCCTTGCTCCATCGTTCACCACTGATGCTGACACGGACAGATGGTACACAAAAACATGCTGCAAACAAGATGACAGTGCTTTTTTTTTTAAGGCCCAGTGGCTGTGATTTCCCCCTGTGCACAATTCCAAATTTGAATGGGGGACTGTGTGTGGTCAACAGATGCAGAAGTAGCTATATCAATATATCAAGCAAGAGGTAATTGGCTGAAATAAATTATTATCAAATTTCTGTATTAATATTAAAATATCTAATGCCATGATGGTGCAGGGCAGGGAAAGACGGGCTCCTCCCTAAAGCAGGACCTGTATGGTTTTAACAGAGGACATCATTCCATCTGTTTAACTTTCAGTTAGAGATGGGTGGTCTGATATCATATCATATAATTATAATTCAAAATATAAGTATGCTGCTTTATTTTGGGATATCATCTGCTTTTTGATCCTCATCAACTCATAAAAAGGTCCCAGGCGAATGTGACAAAATATGTTCACAGAAGGCAGCATGGTGAATGAAAACACTGTGGTGAGAAGACCAACACTGTAAGATGAGTTCAACTAAATGTGTGAGGAGAATTGTTATTTGCGGCGTAGATTATAAGTTTCCCATAGAATAAAATCTTTTGGCAAGTTTTCCTACTTCTACTTTCAGCTGTGTGCTGAGATAATCATAAAACATCACAGACAGCTAGAGTCACAGAAGGATCGTCATAGTTTGTGTACAGTTTCATTGTCCACACCCCATTTACAATGTAAAATTGAGATAAACTGCTACAATGTCTGCCAGGAGCTTGACAGTAATCTGCCAGCTGCTTTACACACCGCCAGCGCACAGTTGGGGGTCTCAAACTCATAACATCGGCTGACACTGTACAGGTGTGCGAGAAGCATGCAGCCAACCATTAAACCCATGCACCTGCAAAACACCGCTGCACAGCTCTGATGTTTGCATTTCAAATGTGTCAAACGTCTCTCTGACGATTAATACAGATCGCATTCTCGGCTGACGCAATTAAATTCTGCTAGATGTTTTCGTGTTTTCATCCGAACTCTGCTATTTCAAATCAAGTTTTTACTCAACACGTGTGATTAAAACTGCTGCTTGACAATTCAGCAAAGCTTCTGTGGCAGCTTCAGAGCGCTCAGAGCCGTGTCAGTTTAGAGCTTCTTTGGGGACACAACAAAACACACATCACTTGAATGCAACCTTTTCCTTCTAAACCTTATGTGTATAGATACCCCACTGTGACAGAATGAGATCTTACAAGATAGCGCTAAGAGACACCCAAGGGGAATTTTCTGCATTTTCTATTCTGTGATCTCCTGAAAGCACAAACAGATAAATGCACTCCCTCGCTGCTGTGTTATGGTCTATCAGCATAAATGATTGTACCCTGACAGCCTCTGCTGCTAGCGTAATTAACCTTTAATTACACATATTTGCAAGTATATTGTACAAGTAGTATCCATGTGTACTTTTGAATTTACAAAAAAAGAGCAAACAAAGAAGGTGCGCTTCATTATGAGCTCTTGCTAACTGGGGAGATATTAACAGTTTTACAGGAATAGTTCAACTATTTGCTTTTACTCCTGCAAGCAGATAGTTAGCCTTTTTTAATATCCCCATATGACAAATTTCATAACTATATTTTGTCTTAAGCAGCAACAAGCAGCAACAAACCAGTACCAGTATGGGACCTTAATACAATCTAGGATCCAGCATTCAAAAATCCATATTGGCTGACTTTCCTCTCATTTTGGTTGCCATGCCATCCTCACAGGTGCACCGTCTTGCTGAGTGAGTGAGCCAAGAAGACTCATGTCTAATGGAGCAAGTGAATAACAAACTGCGCCAAGCAAGTTAAGGGATACGTGGAAAGATCAATACTGCTAATGCTAAAGCAACAACAGGAAAACAACATCTGGCGCTCGATGGATGATATGTCACTTTGTGACACAAAGGAAGAGGATTTAAGGCTGAAGAAGATTACTGTTAAGCATTTCCCCCCATCAAGTTAATTGTTAACACCAAGTAAAGTGCTCATAAAAAATCTTTACTTCAGCAGCACATGTATTGGTA